GAACAACGCAAATATATAATCATTTACATTGTCATTTGGCCAGTAGCTGTATACTTTATATAGACCAATAGAAAAAAAGACTTGCTGAAAAAGCAACAGATGGACGAAACAAAATCCATAATATGTACATAACTTTTCATCTGAACCGGGTCAAAGGCATTGGGATGGATAACTAAAAAGCAACCCAACACCCCTCATATGCAATATCACACATTTGTATTACAGTAGAAACATTGGCCAAAGCACGGCAAAATACATGATCCCCCCCCCCACATCTCCCTGACTGCAGAGTGCTGCTTCCCCTCAGCGCTCTGCACCACGGCTCAATAATGCATTATTCTCTTTGCAAGCTGCCCACAGACACTTGCATTTAACAGCACTCATTTTAGCAACGGTTGGTCACTGAGACGGAAACTGCTACAACGTTTCTCAGGGTTAAAAACACGAACTAAGGTTGGATTAGGTCATGCCTAAACTTTGAGAGGTAGAGACAACAGTCGATATAAGAGAATTGTGTGAAACTACCCATCGAAAAATGTGTCTCATAAATCCACATTTTGTATTTATTAAAAGGTTTACATTTATTCATTTGTTCAGCTCATCTCACACCCTCAAAACCATTGCCTGGCAACTGGGTAACAGTGCAGCTGACAAGCAATTTGTGGTGTTCAAAACTGTAACTTGTATTAAATGAATATCTCTAGCTTATAAAAAAAGTATAGCTTTTTAAACTGGAGGTCACAGCAGGATGTATACAGTATCAAGGTAATCTTAATGTCAGATGTGTGTACCTATAATGGTGTCTTACTTGTCTTCAGTTGTTAAGGACAAAGTGAAGGTGAGAGAAAAATAGGGCAGAGGAGGAAACTGTCGCCGTGCACGTTTGCATGTGACTGCACGACTGGGAGAGCCACCTACTGTGGGATTTGCTGATATAGGACAATGACATGAGAGGGCAACACATGCAGGAGGCTGCTTTACTGTACGCCTCCTCCAATGAAGAATTACAAACCCAACCGAGCAAGAGAAAGGAAATTCAATAAATGTCTCATGCAAAAATGAAAAAGGTTTTTCAGCGTCTCAAATCTGAATATTTCCTTCTTTTCTCTGTTTAGTATCATATTAAACTGGATATCTTTAGGAATGATAGAACGAGACATTTTGAAGACCCAAAGATGAATCAATTAATCTAGAAAATTGGTAGATTATTAATGAAAATGTAAGTAATCAATAGCTGCAGTTCTATACAATCCTAACATAATTGTAGAACATATAGTTTGTTGATGTATGTAGTCTATTCTGTACTCTACTGACTTGTAGGTCGTTGAGTTTATAAATTGCGTTGACTTCATGTTACAAACTCATTTCCCAGATGAAAGCGTCCCCAGGGAGCCAATCAGTGGCTCCACAGTGTTTCTGCTGATGAGCAACACAACACTGGGGAGCCAATCAAACACTGTTCTATTACCCTGCCATGCACTGAGACACAAGGGGATGTCCACTGTGACACACGCACTGATGAATAACATCTCAAATATTACCAATAATAACCCTTCTGCATCACAAGCTAAGGGAAAGAAGATTACACAGTATTCTCCCATTTGTTATAGGCACGTCTCTCAATATGAACTAACCCTCAAAAAGAATATTCAATCAGATGAGACAGCGCTGTGCATTACAAAAACATAGATTACTTAATGGTGACAGATACACACTGTTGTTTTTGTTTTCTAATCTTTACAATGATTCAGTTACAAGTATTATCAGGAACAGACACATTGCTGAGGTCATGTTTTGGGAATATGATACAGCAACTTGCTCTCAGAAATGTTTTTCTCAGCAGTGGTTACTGAGAAAGAGCTTCTTCTCTTTTTCAGGAACTGCTGTCCTGGTCATTCTCTATAAAAGACTTGAAGGAGGCAATATTGAGGTGGCAAATACATAGATTTTGTTCCGCTGTCTCAGCACATATTGTGTGAGAGTCATGGTACATTAGCCATGAACAGTCTAGGTTTAAGCACATTGTTGGGGATATATTCCTAATAGTTTGACTGGTACTGGAGTTGGTATCTTGAAGTATAAAACATTTGATTGTGATATCAGCAAATAGCTTTTTGGTTTTATTTTACACAAAATACAAACCACTAGTATCAATATGGATCCCCTAAATGTGGGTTTGAAATAATTATTTACAATAATTTAACTAAGCAGGACATTAAACAGTTAAAGTAAACTAGTTGAATCTAGTTTAGTCTTATTAGATGTTTTGAAATTGATTGGTTAATTGCGCTTTTACCAGATTATTTACATCACTTCAGATATATAATGTCTCTAATGTTCTGCACTTGCCATTTAAATGAGTACAAAAAATGCTAAAAAAGTGAATAGTATTTTTCGGTCTGGCAGTAGGCCCAGTAAACATTCTAACTTTCCTGCATCAGTAAAACTTTACAACGATCTTATTATTCCACACACAACTTTCAGTTAAAGGAGATTTAAATGCGTCATACTGTTTTGCTGGACTATCATACTTTTCCCCACTGTTTCTACCGCATTGCAAGTAACAAAAACATGTTTCCAACCTGGAAATCTATAATGAGGAAACTTCTCTGCATTAGTGTGTACCAGCAGGTGAAGCTAGGCTCTTCCCAATTAGCTTCTCATGTGTCAAAAACTCCATGTTAGCTTCTTCATCACATAGCAATGTGGAGTTCCGTAGTGATATATTTTTAGGAGGAAAGATACAGCATAACACGTTCCAGAAAATAATGAGGGCGTGTGGAAAATGCTAGCATTACTTGGTTGCCTAAAGCACTGTATGCTTCTAATGGCACAGTGTAGCCTATAGGAAAAAAAGACGAAGCAAAAATAACAATTACTGAGGGTCCACGTGCTCACCTGTTCTGCTTGTCCAAACTGGGAACCAAGCTGCACAAAGTGTTCAGGGAGGATAAACCCGTCTGAGTCCTCGTCACAAACGTCGAACACCTCTTTGAGTTTCCTCACAAATGTCAGCAAACGCTCCGACTGAGGAATTCTGTCTTCTTCCATTTCTTTGGTGCTTTTTTAATCTTCTTTTCGGGTGTTTTAGTCCAACACAAAAACACCATGTTGTTAGGAAACTAGCAGGCCTGCTGTGCGACTGCGCGTGACACAAAGTTATTGGATGCTGCTGCTGCGCGCGGGAGGAGTAGTGATGCTGATGGACACAAGTCCCAAGCATACAATAGTAGGATATAATAGTGTTTTACATAACAATACAAGTACAGAAGTCCGTATCAATGCGTGTATCACATTTAGTGGGATGCAGCCAATAGTTGTAAATCCATGTATTGTAAAATCACAAGTTTCAACCTCAAAATGGCACCATTGAAAAAGCCAGTCTCAATATATTACAATTGTAACATATTATCAGAGACAACATCCACATCCCTAATTGAAAGTGAATGAATAAGTTAGTGGGAAGAAACAGCTTCTGAATCACATTCAAGGAGCAGATGTAAAATCACTGATTCATGAGGAGATGCTGTGCTACTGTCTGGGGAGAAAAAAACATTGTTCTGCATAGTGTACTGCATTATAATGTATGATGTCCTTTATTGTTTTATGTTTCATGTGGAACATATATGCTGCAGGTCTCCCTTGAAAAAGAGATCTATAGTATGATCTCAATGGGACCAATCTGGTTAAATAAAGGTTTGAAATGAAATGAAATAGTAGGAATATTGATGCTGAAATATAACACACCCAAAAAGGAGGGTGGTATTTTCGGTGTTGAAGCTGAATACTGTCTCCTGTCTACTCCGTATTAGCTTTCATGAGTACAAAATTAAAATTCCAGTTAAAATGGGGAATTTTGTTTAAAGACAATTCTCAACAATTCAGTAATTAAAACTTTACTCATCTACTTCCTCAAAAAAAGAACACTTTTAGCCAAAACAAATTTAAGTAATTCACATCTAATGTGATTTAAATCTTGACCCTAATGTTTGTACCCTTATCATCTTTAGGAATATATACCATCTTTAGATGAATTAGATTTATAATGGTAATTGTCCTTTATGTTTGAGTTTCAATCCCTCTCTCACACAAACAAATCTACTTCTGCTTTCTCACAGATTCTAGTTTGCAGTTGTTGATACAGTTTATAAACAACATGTTCCATCTATCAGTGACCTAATTCTTATTCCCTATTATCCAGTTTCTCTTTTCTTCTATCATCTGGAGATGTGGCTGCTTCAAATGTTTCCCACACTTTTAAGTGTGTTCCTTTTTGCACAATAGAAAACAGGCTTTTGTGTTGACTCTAATAAACTTGTTTTCAGGTCACTTAACAAGGCCTGAAAACAAAAGGCCAGTCTATAAAGGGATGTGGATTAGTTGAGTTATACGTTGTATTAATAATGAGAATTTGTTAACTAACTACTAATTTTGTCAAACAAATGTAGTGTTGTTAAAAGTACAATATTTGCTTTAAACGTAGGAGTAGAAGTATACAAATGGAAAAACTTAAGTATGGTACTTAAAATTGTACTTAAGTTCAGTGCTAGGGAAAAAGTACTTAGTTACATACAATAGTATATTGCACTGTTTCTATTATATTATATTCTGCTTCTATTATATTCTATTTTATGTTATACTTGTACTATTTTAACTGTTTTATTGTGTTGCACTGATGGAGGAGACCTAAGATTTTAATTGTCATAACTACACTGTAGCTATGCACACATGACAATAAAAGCCTTGACACCTTGAAACCACTGATAATCAAGCACACTTTTCACATCCTGATGGCATCTTGGGACATTTTGTATTTACTTCATCCTCACAAGTCTGCTGACACAGAAATATTTGTACATGTGTGGTACTGAGACACAGGCCTGCTATTTATTCTCATCATGCACACCACCAGTTCACTCCGAAAAAGGAAGTGTGTTTACTGTTTCAACTTCCCCCAATCATTCTGTCTTCAAGAGGATGTGATACGTATTTAGAAAACAGAGAGGAGAGAGGGAGCAGCCCATACTTCTAGGTGCTTTCTTATTCTGTTCAGTCTTCTTCGTGTGTCAAAGATGCAGGCTGTTAGTGTTGGACAATCACTTTGGATATACACTCTGCTTTTCACTTTTCTACAACTTTGGGGTAAGGATCATGCTAAAGGTGTTTCTCAAAGTTATTTATTTGTTTTTTTCTAACAACTAAAAAAGTTTATTTACACTAGAAATATCTATTAACTGTTTTAATGGTGGTTAAAGAAGAAGTAAACTATTGTAACCTGCCGTTCAATATGTAATGATTCACACAAACAATTCGGTCTGTTGTAAATGTACCACATATGGAAATGACAGCTATGTCTCCTTTTATGTCTAAGTTTTATGTTCTATTTTTCATCAATTGCAATAACCGGTACAGATTGAGCTTGACCACATGTAGCAATCATAGAAGCAATGTTTTTCATGCCTGCTTCACTGTTGATCCACCTCAAAAGGAATTTGTGAAATCCAACTGATTCTTGCTTTATGTTACATCTAGGAAGACTTTCAGCTTCCACTTCCTCTCCTACTCTTACGTCACCTACTCTGGACATCTATTCAAGGTCAAAGGGCTCGGTGGTTCTGGTCTGCCGGGCCCCAGATGGTCAGAGAGGGGTTAAGTTTATGTTGTACCGAAACGAAAAAGAGGTAATTTCTTTTGCAGATGTTTTCTGGTGTGTCTTATGCTACCACTTGGCTTCTTTGGTTTAATTGTTCTGTGTGTCTCTTCTTATATTAAGGTGGACTCTCAGGTGCTGGAGTCTGGTGCTGAGGAGGTTCATTTCACTGTGAAGGAAAATAATACAGTGCAACTCTTCTGCTGTATCTACATAGAACAGGGTCGTTTCAGTGCCTTCAGTCCCTATTTACATCTGGAGAAGACAAGAGGTGTGTTTAAGTTTGTTTTTTAATGCATATCTTAATAGTCTTGCCTTTGATCAATTAAGAATCTGATTGGACACTCAGTCCAAACATGTTCTCTCTTTTAAAATAGAAAAAGGTCAAGAGATCTTGAGCTTGAAAAGTTCAAACAAATGTAATGAAGGCACTATCTTAAAGGAAACATTGATTGATAAAAGTTAAAGAGCCATTTATCAGATGGCTATGTTATCAGGTAATTCTGAAAAAATATGGGCAGTGCTTTTAAATATTGAAACATCCAATTAACAGACATCTGATTAAAGGCTTTTTAGCTTTTTACCTGATATGGAAACTCACACTGTATATTCATATAAACTGGTAGTACTGCTGACAGTCTGCTTGCAGCACTGGACACTTTATTATTTTATTCTGTGTTTATACATTTATAACACTAGATATGTTTGTGCCTTAACATCAACAGGCGTGCTCCAAATTACATTAGATTGCACTTTACAGTTACAGTTACAATACATTTATCTTATCTTATCTTACTATAAAGGACAAGGTAGGAAATGGATGTGGTGTGATGTGGAGCAACAGAGTTTGTTGAGTCAGTTTTTTACAGTTTGCACCCAGTAGTAATTCCACATGTGGTATAAAATAATAAACACTCCCATCCGCTGCTCTACAACCTCGAGAACAGAGTGCTGCATGCAGGTGCTCTCTGTGGTCTCTTATTGTCCTCAGCTCTGTGGGTGTGTGTAGTGGTAGTTACATCCTGCACTTCATATAGAAACCACACACCCACCCACACATACACACACGGACATCAAACACAATGTGTGGCTTCAACAGTTGATGGTGAGAAAGGGAAGTTTGGCTAGCAACTGCGGCAAACCAAGGATGTTAGCGTTGCCATATGTTTAAATGAATTTTGTGCAACATATTTAAAAGTAATGAGGCAACAAACACATAGGACTTATTGATTCTCTTTCTGTACTTTTCCAGATACAGCCTCCCCTCGGTCCATGCCCTCTCCAGTGTTGTCTGTGAACCCCTCCACTGGTCAGGTGAAGCGTGGGGACACTCTGTCCTTCAGCTGCTCTGTCCCTGTCCCGCCTCAGTCTCAGTCCCGGTCTAACCTTGGCAACCGACCCATGACCTTCCTTCTGCTGAGAGCCGCTAAGCAACCGGGGGCCATATCTGTAATCCTCCAGCCTCAAGCCAGTCTGGTATCAAACCATGAACCCCAGCCAGGAGTCTTCACTGTGGGGCCGGTGACGGGTGGAGAGGCGGGGGAGTACACCTGCCTTTACCAGGTCAATTTAAGAAGGGGATTGGTTAATTCTACTGTCAGCAACACGGTTCTAATCTCTATTACAGGTGAGGAGGCAAATCCCTGTTATTGTTACCACATTGACATCCTTCTTTCACTATTTCTCTATAAAGCAGCTGATACTATATACTTGTATATAGACTATTCTTGCACTATTTCTATTCTATTTTTATTTGTATTTACTTGCACTATTTTATCTGTTTTATTGTGTTGCACTGTTGGAGGAGCCTGTGACCTAAGCTTTTAATTGACATAACTACACTATGTACAATAACAATAAAAGCCTTGAATCTTGATTGTATACACGATATACAAGGCAGGAGCTTTCACTAATGTTTCTCCTGATTTGGTCTGGTTTCAGATGCGTTGCCTGTTCCCACCCTCGTCCTCGAGCAGCAGACGGCTGTGTGGCATTTGCTCTGCACAGGCTCTGCTGCGTACCCCGGTGCTGCGTTCTCCCTCTACGTGGAGGATAATGAATTTCCTGTTGACACTCACAAAGCCACCTTGATCCACCATCAGGCCACCTTCCCAGTGCCGGTCCAGGAAACTCCGGTGGCTTTCTACCAGTGCCAGTACAATGTCCTCCTGGTGGGGGAATGGAGCAACTCTCCACACAGCCTCCCTTTAGCTGTAACCAGAGGTACAGATGTGCTGTTGTACTCTATGTGTGTCGTTTTAATTGACCAAAAGTTAATGTGGAGGTTTTAAAAGAGTTTAAGACTTCTTGTTTTCTTTATCCAATCTTTTAGGAATTCCTCCTCCATCATCAACAGGTAGACCTACCAACCCTACAACATGCTTATATTCATAATCCTATCTAGTGGGACATATGACAAAAAAAGGGATTTAGACTTATCATTCTACTCCATGACTCACAATAATGCCGGTGTGCTGTGTCCAGATTTTTCCGCTGTGGACTGGCCTCTTGTACTGGGGTCTTTCTCCGCTGTGGTGTTGTTCCTCTGCTCAGTGATACTCGTGGTTGTGGTGGCACGCAGGAAAAGTATGTCACACATGCATTTCTGCTTCCTCACATGATGCATACACGCGGTCAAGATGTCTTCCTCGTGAGAATTAATATTGCCTTTTCTTCTTCTTTTTTTTTAAAGTCAAGGCAGCAGCTGAGGAAAAGAAGAGAAGGTATTGTAATTTACATTTGTCTTAAAGACCAGTAAATGATCACTCAGTTTGTCACAACTGCAACTTAAAATATTGTCCTCAGGTTTGCAACTTAAGAAACTGTTTAAAACAAAACTATCAATAAAACACCCACTATCAAAAGTTCCCAGAATTAGCTTGAACTTGTGTTATAGTTAATAATGTATAATGCTCAGCAAACAAAAGTAGTTTCACTTTATTAATCCTGTTACACAATGTAAAAACCCATTTCACATTATAGGGTTGCCTCTACACAGCTCGAATCACATTGATTTTCATAAACACGGTATATAAAATGCATTATTATGTTACACGATTGGTTTTGTGGTATGACATGTTGCTGTGTTGAACTATTTCAGAGAGGAAGCACACTTCTGGACTCAAGTTCATGCAAAGGACCATGTTGTGGGTGAGTTTATGATCATATTTCTAACTTGGTTAATGTCTGGCCATTCAGTTTCTTGCATTTTAAGCCATTTTATTTAGGTTCTGACGTTGATTTCATGAAAGTAAAGATACATACTGATACAAACCACTGCTTGACGTTGTGCTTGTATTTTTTCTTTTTCTTCACAGACCTTACACTCAGGCGCACAAGTATCACTCAGGTAATTCTTTATAATACCTTTATCTACAGTTGATAATACAAATTATTGTGTGATTTATCAACTACGATTAAGCAACAGTTTACTTTACCTTTGTACTTTCGATAACAATGCATTGAGTTAAAGAGTACGCTTTAATCATAGGCCAGCAAAAGACATTAAAGGCCCAAAACACACTATGTTAGTCCACCTCTCAGTAGCCCCAAAGGTTCTTATTACAGAATCTCAAACATCTGGACAAGGACATTTGTGGCGAACAGTACTCAAATAGAAGTAAATAGTACATTTCTTTTTTTTTTCTTTTTTAACTCGCAGTGGATTAATACACATGTTGTGTATACTGAGTATGTACAGCAGCAGGACAGTGTTTGGATATACAGTACTTATATGGTTTTGGTCTTTTCTAGGATTAAAAAAGTAAGGTAAAAGGAAAACAACAACTCCATGATAGATGTGACAAGACGTACTGTATTTATAAAAAATTCTTAGCTTTACAATAGCAATAGTATTCATTTGAACACAAAAATGAGGCAGATCATGTGCAGTTTTCTGACGTCAGTCCCCTTCTTTCTTTAGGTATTTCTGGTATTTCTGCAGCGTCTACAGTTTGTTTCTCCTGTAGATTAACTTTCCCAAACAACTGTAAACTTCACTGATCCCTTCGCTGTAAACAAACACACAGAAACACACATATTCGCACACCCACACACTGCCAATCATCAAGCATACTGTCAAACCACACACATTCCTCATTAATGTCTCCTTCTCATTAGTTGTAATCACATTTATTAATTAGTTTGATGAAGGACTGTCATTAGACTAAGAGCTCTAACTAGGCTCTATCTTTCTTTCTGTGATACTAAACAGCCATCAGGAAAAAACGCTGTCATTACCAGCTGATGGAAACACTAACCTGCTGTCATTAAGCAGCCATTGCAGAATCTGAATATTAAATATCAGTTTTGTCAGTCTAAGCACTGATCTGGCATGGCCTCGTCTTACCTTTTACTTAAAAAGCAGTCATTTCATCAAGATCACAGCTATTTTTTTATTATCTTTTTATCAGTTATATATTGTTTTCTAGAACCTCTCCCTTCACAGATTTGACTGCACTTTGAGTGTCAGAACTTTTTTAACTAATGTTCAGTTAACAAAGATGGATAAGAAGTGTATAACTGGATTTGTGGAGGTTTGCTACAGAATAAGTCTTAGGTAATTCGATTCAATTGAGGGCCATAAAGTGATAATAGGTTATGAAATAAACAAAATAATGTATAGTGTTGTTTAAGCGACACAGGGAAACTTGTTTGAAAGTACAAACCGGGGTATAAACGGTACCGCAATAAATGACTGCTGAAATCTTTAACAGCTTGTGTGTTTGTGTTTTGTGTGCAGGAATGGGCCAGTGTGGACTCACCTACAGAGACGGCCTCCAGATCCCCTTTATGGACCTCGCTCTCCACATTCACAACCCCGATCCATCCCTACCATTAGAACATTTGGTGTTTTCTTTCGCTCCCTCTCCGTCCCTCTCTTTCTCTCTGTCTGTTTATACTTTTTCGAGTTTATCAATGTAGCGTCAGCTGGAGTAACACAGCAGGACAGGAAGGGCTATTTCCCCACTTCCTATTTCATTTTCAGCAGTTAAATGTACAATTTTACAGGATATGATGTTTGTTTGATCTTACATGTTACTGAGCCAGTGAATCTAAATAAAGATGTTATTATTATTTTTTATATGACATGTGTTCCATGTGGTGGATAACTTACCTTAAGGTTAACTTCAAAGTGTATCCTTGACCTCGAAAAAAGCAGATGTGAAAACAATCCTACCACAAGCTGCTTTAGTAACAGCTACTAAATGGATCGTTACCATTATCAGTCATCATGGAGTTTTATTTACAGTTTTGCAAATGACTATAGCTCTGATATCTAATATGTAAAAATGAAAACATTGTATGTAATCAATTACCCGCCTCTTTAAACACATTGAATAGATAATAGTCTTGTTCAAATCTGATAACGGGACATCCCTACAATCTAGTTCCTGCATCAGGACCTTAGACTGCATGTTGGTAAGAAAAATGTAATATATGCTTGCATACTCATGCGACACAGTGTGTTAAGATTGTGAAGAAAAAGACAACCAACAACTCTTTCCCAAATTGTCCTGCTGTAGTTGTGCTAAGTATTCTGCAGAGGGCACCATTTAGATATAATTGAAAGTAAAACAAAAAAACACAAAAGGCAAAACATGAGGAATGTTATTCATCAAGTTGTTCTCCTTATAATGAGAAAAGGTCCAAGGTTGAGTGGAACAATGTGACTTTGACATATATGGGAATATCTACACAATGCAACAAGCGGCGATTTGTGCTGAGCTTTACTCTTTACTACATTGTGAGGGGACAAACATGAACCTTAAGGACATTATGGCTGTCTTTATATCTACAGTGTATTGGTCCTACATTCTAAGTGAATGTGCTGAGACTTCAATACGTAGCGAAAGTAAAAAAGTAAAAGGACTCAGGAGGGAGAGACGCCTCCCACCTGTTTGTATGGTTTTATGGCGGATAATAATTCTGCAGAGAAGGGCTGTCATTGTACTTCAGAAAGCAGCAAAAAGCAGACTCTGTATTAGTACTGCGTTTTATTACATATCACTGGCCTTTCACAGCACAGTCGCAGTAATGCACGGGGGAATGTATGTATTCATTTCTCTTTTATAGACACAGACAAGATGAAAAAGATGAAAGTTGAGGATGTAAATCATTTAACAAATGTTAAAGTCAGCTTCATTTGCCATGTCTGAGTCACTCTTCCTGTGTGCAGTCACATGTGAGCTGATGCTCACACAGTGAAGATATTCAGCTTCAGATAATGACGTTCGGCTGATTTGTTTGTATAAGAGGCAGAATAACGATAAGAGGCTTGAGCCATGTGATGAATTCAAGTGGCACCTTAATTGTACCCACAGTTCACTGGCTTGTGACAGCCTCACCCTGTGTGCATAATGTGACACACTGAGCCATGAGTCAGGTTTATATCAGATGACACTGGCAACCCTGAAAGTCATGGTAATTGCTCTTTGATGCCACCCCATGCTGTGTCTCCAATGTAATAGCCTAAGGTGTGTATGCAGAAACTGAACATGAACGTGTGTGCCGAAATCTGAAAATTGTTGGAAGATTGATTTTGATCTGTTAAAATACACTTTTGAATGTATTGACCAGTTAGATTAAAGTGGCACAACCTTCTCATTATCACTGAGTCTGTTGCTTTGTCCATTTTCCTGCACTACTCTGACACATTAGCTCAAGGCCTTGACTGCTGTCGATTTGAAAGCCTTCTTCATTGGCTTTTCAGGAACATTCGATACTATTAAGTAGACAGCCTTGTAGAAAATAATCTTATTTCAAGAGCAAAATATATTGAGTGTTGTATGTTTAACAAAGCGTGAAACTTGATCACAACTATCTTTCCCCCTTCAACAGTCTTCACTTACTCACTGCCAAGCACAATAATGCAAACAAATAAATAATTGCCAATTGTTTCTCCTAATTTGTCATTTTGTTTGTTAATGTGAGAACTGATTTGAGAGAAACACATTTTTTCTACTTGTTTTAAGGAAAAATATGTTTTTAAAGACACATACACGTAATGGAAATGTATGTTGGCAGTGAACGACTGTTACAATAAATAGGTCCTCTCCTCCTCTCCACATTGCATGACATTTGCTTTTTAATGTCTGTGACTCAGCTCTGCCATTTGATTTACCCTTCTCTCACAGCATCAAAGAGTCACACCCACATGAAGCATTATACAACGCAAAAGGCCCATATGTGAGGACATCAAAATAACAATCACTGACTTTCTTATGTTGTCTGTTGACAGTGCACACACACACACACACACACTTTTGTCCCCTAGACAAAGAGGCATTACAGGAGCGGCGGCTAATCCTTAAGACACCAACACAATGCTGCTTCAATGACTTCCTGCCAGCAGGACTTTGGAAGGTGGTGATAATGAAATATTGAGGAAATGAGTATTGATATGAGCAGGCAATAGACAGGTGTGTGGGTTTCGTTTCTTGGTAACCACATCTGAAAAGCAGCCAGATCAGATTAGATGGATATCAGAGAGATAATGTGGAATGTGCAGTTTGACCCACCTGAATAGGTTGCCATATTTGATTGTCCTTGCATAAAAATGAGTCTTTGATCTTAGAATCTGACATTACTCCAATTAACTACACTGGTTGGTATGACTCTTCCCTTCAGTGACAAGCTTTTAGTCTATCATGGAGTGTAGTTTGCTATACTTCATTTCCACATGTTTTCAGGCTCCTAAATCACTTACTCTCCTACCAAGACTTTTGGTAATGTGCCATTGGACCTGGAAGTGTGGTGATGTGAGGGAAGTTGCCTAGTGAGGAATGAAGCTTATTAATAATTTTGAGCACTTAAATTGCTGCAGCTCCACCATAATAATATGTACTGGCAATCTCACTGGGCTGCGTCCAGTGAGAATGAGGTGATGAATTATTCACAGGAGATTGGGAGGTCAGTAAAGCGTGGTCTGCTGATCTCACACACACAAAGGTCCAATGTGGCATGTACTGTATGCTGCTTCATTTTAGCAAAGCCTCCATCTTCTTCAAAGCTGTATCCATGGAGACACATTTTCTCTTTGACCATGGAATGTGTAAAGGGACCCAAAATCAAAAACATAGAGCAATTTGATGTTCAGAGGATCAGTGGCAGTTATGTTGTGGCCATCTCAAAGTGTCTGTGCCCTGACAGAACTGCACCGCGCTGGCTCCATTGTGGAATTCAGACTGCCTTTAATAGTTTAGTGTTAGGCTGGTTTGGTGCATGATTTAGAAAACTATCCTTAAAAGTATTACTTTTACATCATGTATGCCTCAGTCCGATACAAAAATATTAAAGGAAAATAAGGGACACTCGTTATTGTGTGAATCAAGTTTCATTCCAAAATACTTTTTTCCTGCATCAAAAAACAACAACAGAGTAACTATTTCTTAAGCATTAGATGTGTATTAAAATCCTTTAGCTCTCAAATCCAGATCAGCATTGCACTGTTACAGAAAGCTGCTTAATTTCACTATAATCTGGCTCTTAGTGATGCAAGAAACATAAGAACATAAGTAGTCATTCAAGGTTTACCAATGGTTCAAAAGGTCAGGTCAGTTTTCTATGCACTGAGTAACTATATTAGGAAAACCTCAACAAAGTGCTTATAAACAATAATGCTGAAATTATTTCTCTTAGTGAAACAGTATATTTTTGTGTTAGACTTGTTGCTAAGTATAGACTCTATAATGAATGACCTCTGACACAAACTCATTATAAACTGAACACATTGAGCTACAGGATTTATTGCATGGCTTTTGTATGGGATTCTATTTGATAATGCAGGTGTAATATAACTCGGGATAAAACATAATTGAAGGCATACAACTGGGGATGACACATTGCTTTTCTAGCTACAAACAGCCCCACTTAATCTATTTTCATCAATACATCACAACTCCTTATTATTACAAAAAGGTTCCAATGATAAAGAACTTCAATCTTACTAAATTTACATTTTTCTTTCCCCCTGTGCAAAGTCATTATTATTGTTTGCCTTAAAACATTCATTAGTCTTAGAGTTTTCCAGCACAGGAAACAGGCCAAGTGCTTATCCACTAATAGGTGGCCCTCCTCCTTCTTTTTCTCTCCTTCTTGATGGAGGACTCTTCAGGGTTTTTAGTCCACAAGCAATCCTTTACCTTGGCCCCGATCCTCCTGACCCCCTTTGTAGCCTCAATCCCTGACCTCTTTTGGATTCACATTCTGTCTTTCCTCCCCTTCATCACTGCTCCAATTTTCCTCCCTGCTTTCCTTTTTATCTCCTTCAGCCCTCCACTTCAAAAACTACAGGTTTCATGTAACCTAACTCTTTCAGATCACTCTAGAAACGTCTCCTCAGTCGTCCTCTGTGTTGTGTCCGTTGACTAGACCGGACTCCCAGCGCTGCACCAGAGAAGTCTTCTGTCTGGGGGTCAGGGAACCCTGGAGGACCTGGGGAAAAAGATGTGAAAGCAGGAGTTATTAGTGGATGCAAGGTTAAAAGGAAGGAGATCAAATGTTGCATATAAAAGAGGGAGAAGAGAAAGAATTAAAGAGTAGAAACATCAGATGTGTTGTAGCAGGAGACAGGACCAGTGAGCCAACACAGGGAAAAAGGAGCAAAAAAGATACAAAATAAATGGGTGAGTATATTTCCTCTAGAGCAGGGGTGTCAAACTCAATTTCATCCCGGGCCACATCAGCATTATGGTTGGGCCGGTTGTAATTTATATAAATATACATATGTAAAAATATAATATATATTAAATAATGTATTATATTACATTGTTGTCCCTGCATTGGATTATTATCAGATCTGGTAATATCTTCCTAAATAACTACGTCTGAAAGCAGAAGTCTAGGGCAAATAATTGAAAGTAAATATTCAACAATTACACCAATTGTATATTATATTCTTTGCAAGCTCTTGCGGGCCACATCAAATTAGGTCGCGGGCCGGATTTGGCCCCCGGGCCTTGAGTTTGACACCCCTGCTCAAAGAGAGGACATCTCTTTGGATGAGCATCATTAGCTCTGCATGTCAGAGGGAGGTTAATGCAACTGTGATCCAAGGCCATGTTTGCTATGAGTCAGTCAACAACTGAGGCCATTTCCCCTGCAATGCCCCGTTTATTCCTGAACTTTAATCAGAAACCAGGTCTGTGCAGATAGCAGGTAACCAACCAGCAGAGAGAGAGAGAGGAGAAGAGAGAGGCATGAGGCGGAGAGAGGAAACAGAGCAAAACGTTGCTAATGCCATCGTCAAACTAAGCGTGCAGCTAAAACCAGCATATCAATGCCAAACTGAAGGAGAAGCACTCGACTCTAATCAGAGATAGCACAGTTTCAAAGAGATGCAAGACCCGCAAGACCCGCAAGACCCGCAAGACACACACACACACACACACACACACACACACCTCTCGCTCTCTGTCTGTCTGTCCCAAGGGTGTTTGCCTTCTTCCCTTATCTATAAAGATAAGCTCCTTACTGTGTGTTCAGTATGTTATCAGATGTTGGTGGCCCATATTTGCTGCTGACATCTTCCCAAACGCCTTTCTTCATTAAACCTTTTACAATCCAGTTCAGTTTTAAGCATACGTTCATATCCCCAGCAACTCCCTGAACCCCCCAAAGCAACTGCAATTCATATATGAACTCTCAGTTAAAGTAAAGAAGGAACGCGATATCCTTTTAACTGCATTCGAGGAAGACCTGATGTTTTGCCTACGTTTGCATGTCCAATACCAAGAGTACCGGATAGGTAGGGTTGGCATTTCGAATGTACTGTATATAGAAAGTAATACCTAATGAGGCCTGGTATTATTTCTACATGGTCCAATGCTTAGTGTCATACCAAGCAGTAGTATAAAGGCAATGTTAATTTATAAACTTTATTGCAATAGAAATGAGCGGCTAAGGTGACTCACCTCTGGCCGGTTAATCTTCTCCTCTTCAGACTGGGGCGGGGGCCACATGCCTAACCTGCCAACTGACTGGCGTGCTGCAAGAGAGAGAAAGAATATTAAGTGGGTGAGGGCAGGAAAAGCAAGGCACCAAAGAGGCAAAAGTGTTCCTGTGACTTTGTCTGTGCTAAACAATAAAGCCTCTTTGAATCAAATTAAGAGTAAACGTGGTGTGGCAGCACAGTGAAATGAAAGGAGAGGAACACAAAGGGAATTTAGGGAAAGACCTTTGTTTGAAGATCATGAAAGAATATGAAAATAATGAATTGTCTATATAACAATACATGATTGTTCATCTCCCAACACTGAGTCATGGTCATTCAGGGCCTGTAGCACACCCTGATGGGTTTGTCACGCAGTTGTTGCACCAACGATGACGGGCGACACTTTCATTCAAATGCAGCCTAAAAGAAAACACGAATGGCAACCCTCCCTGCCAACAAAACACAAACATACTGTCCAGCAGTCTGTTGTCTGAAGTTTCTCACAGCCCTGTGAAACAACCATCATGTTCCAAATGAGTTATTTTGCTTAACTTAAAACTGGGCGTTGTTTAACACTATTATATATAATTATACAAAAGCTCATATTGTTATTAAATGATTAGGACAGCTTGCTCAAGTTAGCATTCTAGTACACTTAGAGCAGAAGCTATTCATTCATTACTTTCAACCATTTACCATTTAACCTCTCTACTTGCTGGTTCTGGTGTTACACGTGACTATGTTGCCTTATTTGTTTAATCTAATAATATATATATATGAATACATACAGCAGAAGGACCCCCTTTCGGTACAAGTAACCCTGTTAGGGAATCACTGTAACACATACAGACAATGGCAGCAAAGTTGAAATTGCACAGAGGAAACTTGTCTTCTCAGCACGCTGAATTGGCAGCACTCTATTTCAAATGTGCTTTTGTTGTCCCTACACTGACTCTATATAACCATAATAACTAAGAAAAAGCAAGTTCTATGCACTTTTTCTCCCAAAATTGGACTTTTTCAAAGTGCTCTTCTCTAGCTGACACAATAAAGTGTCGAGATATGACTCAGGACTTTTCTTCACCGCAGCTTTCGCAATTAATTTGACAGACTATATGCTTTATTGTGGAGTAACAGAATCGTATTTTCTTGTCCGGCAGCTTATGGTCTCCAGTGCAAAATTATTGCTCATAACGGCTAACAATGATTTGGAAAGCTGACCATGACCACTGACCATGAGAAAAATGAAATAATGTGCTTGCGGAGCTGTTTCAGGGGTTTTTCATCACCTCAGCACAGATATAAAAGAAAATAACATACACACACACTACACTAACCTGCCGTGGGTCTCGTTCCCCCTCTGGGTGATGAGACGGGTAATTCAGGAACAGCCAGTCCATTCAGTGAAGAAGAAGATAACGTGGGAGTCTTTCCTTCTGCAATGACTGGCCCCCCACCTCCCCCCGCTCCCTCTGTGCCCCCATACAGGCTGATCCTCTGCTTGTGAAGCTCCTTCTCCCTCTCCTGAGCCTCCCGGATATCCTTCTCTACTTTAACCAAATTTGTTGAGGAGCGCAGCTTGAAAAAGGGGTTCTCCTTGGGTGCCCCCTCGTCTTCTACCTTCTCCTTTTCGTGCTCTCTCACTTTAATCCCATCATGGCCTCCTGTTCTGGACGATGTGAAGTTAGATCTTCCAGAGTCGACAACAGTGACGGGCTGTGCCTCTGGCTTGGCGTGGTAGAGCTTCAGCGCTGGGACACTCAGATTGTTCTCCAGGATAATAACCTGACAGCCTTTCCCCTCAGAATAGCCCGCTCCTCGGGGAGTGCCCCCCCCTTTTGCTAGGTTTTGACCCTGCGTGTGAATCCTCTCCACATGTGAGCCTCTTATGGTGGACGCCTGTGATGAGATGTCCTCCTGGTCCTCCAGGGTTGTAATGTCACTGACAGAGGACCAGGACATGGCCTGACTCCTGGCTGACAGACTAAGAGTCGAGTCATCCGGCTTCTGAAAGGCCTCAAAAAGTTGTTTTCTGTCTTTGAGTTGGCGTACCGTGCCTTTGTCATAGAAACCTGGAACTGTTCCAAGCTTTACCAGATCCTGCTCCCTCTGGGTCTCCTCGTGGATCTCTTGCTGCATCTTCTTGCCTGCAAACTGCCTGTCTTTGCCTTGACACCTCTCAGAGTTTAGAGTGATAGACTGGCAGAGAACAGTTTTCCTTAGAGGGATCTCTACATACTCTGGTGCTGTAGGTGGATTTGGTAGCCCTCTGGACCTTCTCAGGCTGTGTTCACGCTCGATAGCCCGTCGGATCTCCCTCTCAATGGGAGTCTCTTTGGGTGCCGCTGCTGGAGAGATGGTGGTGTTGCCCTCCAAAGTGCTGCATGGGGAGAAGTCAGCTGAAACCCCACTGTCACTCTGGCTGTCATCATACGAGTCACTCTCCATCCTGGTGTGTTTAGAATACACAAAGCTGTGTTTTCCTGGCTTAACCTCTTGTCCTCGGTCTGTTTTTGTTAACAGTCCTCCACCGTGTTGCTGCTCAAGCAACCTGTTCCTTTCAAGTCCTCTCTCTCTCTGCCCTCCCTCTCCACCTGTTTGCTTGCTCTCTCGCTCTGTGCTTACCCCCGCCCCACTGTGCCTTTCTCTCACAGCTACCAAACAACCGGGGCCTTGAGAAGCTGCCCCGCCCCATTTACACAGCTCCATGGCAACAGTTGACAAAGGTGAGGAGCTCTGGCCGTGCACCTGTTGTGCCGCTTCCTGGTTTTCTCCCCTGGGGGCAGGTTCACTTGGACTCTGGGACAACAGCTCCTCCTGATGTTCGACAGAGGGAACTGTAGAGGAGGTTGGGTCTTGTTCAAAGGCAGAATATGAGGCCTCGAAAGACTTGGATCTTGATTGCTTTTGACAAGACATAATATCTATGCTCACTTCCTCTTTTTCCTTGCTTTTATCAGCAAAAGGAGCAGAGCACTCATCATCTGAGTTGTTTCTATCAGATTGAGAATGAGGAACAGTTGAATTTATTGCGGCGGCAGAAACCCTTGACATATTATCTGGTTCACTATTGAAACTATCCTGTAAGACGTTCAGCTGTGAGCCATTTTCCTCTGTTCTCATATTATCTCCTGTCATCTCCTCAGGTGATGAATCTGTTTCTCTATTTACCGGCTCAGGGAGAAGAGGAGGCCCTTCTGGACTAATCTGTCTATCAGGAGACGTAACGACACAGTCTGGACAGAAAGCATCCTCACATGGATCAGTAGACTTCTCCGATTCCTCTTGAGCCTGTAATGCTTCTGAAAGTTGGGCAGCTTGTTCTAATTCTGTCACCATCTCTTGTGTCTCCCTGGGGGTGCACACACAAATTCTTGTTAATTCCTGGTTTTCTGATTCAGTTGCATCAGCTGTGTCGTTAGGCGAGAGCGTCGTTTGGTTCTCTTGGTGTGTTTTTTCTCGAGCTCCAGGCTCCTGGACGTTTATGTCCTCTTCAGGTTCTGCCCTGGGAGCCTCTTTATCTTGCAGTGGGGAGTCATGGCTTTTGGTTGCACCTGCTACACCTTGCGCCCAGAACTCATTGACCCCCTCCTCTAGTGTGTTGAGAGGACCCTGATCCTGCCAGGCCAATGGCTTTGTTGCCATGGTGACAAGTCTGCTGATGTAAAACCGTTTTGAGCAATCCGGATGTTCGGCCTCCAGCCAGTCACTGAGGGAAAGCAGAGAAACACACAGAGGAAAAGGGGGAATAACATAGTGATTATCCGAGATTACCAACCAACACTATTTTATACCGCATTATTTCATCACAGATTAAATAAGTTGCTGAATTTACCAAGTGAATGAATCATCACACTGTATTTACTGTGACATTTACTGTGGAAAATAAATGAAATGCCAAGTGCTTTTAATCCGCCTTCATCCTGTGTTACAACACTGCAGCTAGGACAACAAACCTCACGTTTAAAAATAAATGTACGAAATAAACAAAGAATAATTTCAAAGATTGCTTTTCATTTGATCTAGTGCTTGGTAACCTATCTAGGACCCTTTATGTTGTTTTCCTCTTTTGATTGTTCATCCGTTTGTGTGCAAATCATTGTTTACTGCATCTCAGTTAGTGCAGGATTACACACACACACACACACACACACGTCTCTGATGAGGCATTGGGACAGATGCACGGATACAATGGATGCATAGTTAGATAGAGACTTGCAGTACAGCTCACCCTTCATGTACAGAAAACAATGACTGAACTTGACATGGTTAGACAAATGTGGAACACTATTACAATGATGGCAGAGCATGTAGGCACCAAAGCAGAACAAGAACCAGAACAAGTGGGCCCTAATGTGGGTAAATTAGGATGAGGGCAGTGAGTCATGACAGACACTGTTTACAACCAAACAATGGTTGGATGGGGGAACCACTCACCAGATTCACATAACTTTTACTGGGCTGTTTTCTTATATTTGCTATTGTAAATGTGTTTTTTTTTTAATGTCCTATAGTCTACAGGATGAACAAACAACTTATAATAGATTCAGAATTGGTCATTGTTTTAAATCAGTACCCATTATGAAATGTGTCTGGCTCCTGTCACATTGGCTGTTTTTTCAAGGGATGTGAGTGGGAGGGGAGAGTTGGCATTCCCACAAAGTCATCACTGTGTCTAAATGAGACTCAATCATTGACTGTGTTTTGTGATCGCCAGAAAATAACAGGAGAAGACTTTATTATATTCAGTAACTTGGCTATACCACATGTTAACACCGGTCATGCAATTCATTAAAGATGCATAATATGTTACTCATTGAATGAGAGTTGAAGGTGAAGTTGCATAAAATGGTGAGGCAAAACTAGTGTTTTGTCACAGGGAGAGGGCCATCGAACACTGAAATCTATTGCAAATCTCTGCTTAAACAGTTTTATTCACCCACCCCTGCTGATTCAGATGAAAATCCTGCTAAAAACAAGCAAGCTCAAATGTTTAATAAGATCATCCTGCAATGCTACAGTAGTGAAAAAATCCCCTTATTGATATTAAGGTAAGGTAATCCAATTTGATACTCTTGTTGTAAACTCTGGCAAGCCCTAATGAGATATTTCCCTTGCAGTTTGTAGATTAGATTCAATAAACTCAGGGCATTATTTCTAATATGACATGCTGTTCTGTTTTGTGTTCCAAAACGCTCGGAGAAATCTGGCAGAATATAACCTAATGTTCTCCAACTCTCTTTTTGGGTAAGAGAGGTTACTGAAGTTCTTGAATTAAAACTCCATTATGCAACAGACTTGTGTTTTGCTCATTATCTGCAAAGGAGCTCACTTTATGAAAAGAACAATTAAATCATGATCATCATTAAAAATACATCTGTGATGGCCTCACAAATAAACGTGCTCTACTTTCTGTGGTCAGCAGTGTCCTAATGAAGTTTAACATATGAGGGCATTTGACAAAAATGCAAATGCTTTTCATAGATGCAGCCAACTTCCTCCCTAATTAAAAATCGTCTGCTGTCTAATGGTTGCTGACATAGTGATATGCTCATTTTTCAGTCTCTGACTTAAATATGCATTAGTAACTGTGGCAAAAAGAAACAGCAGGACAATCCAGTCTCTGCAGGCTTGGCTTAGAATCATTTCTGTTACGCAGTTGTTTTCAACGGTAATTTCTCCCCTGATTGGCATATAATTGAGGCAGGTGTTCAGTAACTTCAAGTTGAACCAAACAATTAAAATACAGAAAACTATGATATACAGTTGCACATACCTGGTAACAAAACGCTTTGAAGATGCCCTCCAAATGACAGACACTAATTTCTGAGTAAGCACAGTTGTCTTGTTTCAGGTCACTGTTGTTTAATCACCACAGAATGAATGTTATTGCTAACAGCTGCACCGCCCTGCTGCCTGTCACTCCTCCCCTGCCCACAGTGACACCTTCATTACACCAATCGTGCACGCCCACATTTGCATACCATGCTCACACAGCAAACATCCACTAGCACTGAATGGGCACGTGTGCATGCATGCACTAACACAAGTGCTGGAGGCTTACCCTATTGTTGTGGATTTTAAAATGTATAGTACTAATCCAATTAGCAAGTATCACAGTAATTATTGCAGCTTGCAAGTGAGTGAGGAATGTCCCAGAGGGATAAGAAGTGATTATATAATTCCAGCATGTAATGTTGTCCTCTTATATCCCGGGGGGAAACTGTAATTTATTCTGTAGTTTCGTTACATTACCTTTCCGAATGAATAACATAAAGAGTTTAGTTTAAGATGTATTTTACAGCACACTGATATGTTCATTAATATTTATTTATTTATTAACAGATTGTACAAGTATTCAGCATTAGTTTTTGAACATGTTTTTTATTATTTTGTAATCATGACAGAACATTTTGAGAAAAATACTGAGATGTCCACATATTTAAAGAAAGAAAACAGATTGTTCTGTCTGCTGCAGAATAGAATTCATCATGTCATGCGTTGCATTCAAGAAATTGATTTTGGGTGACATATCTCCATGCCAAATAAATATGTACTGTAGCGACCCTGCATAGGGTGCTGGGTGTGTCACTCAAGCGTCCCCCGTCTCTCTGCCAATCACGGAGCTGCACAGTAATGCTGGTCGGTGTGCGGGCCTGTGGTTGGGGGAGCAGAGGGGGGAGGGCTGGGGTGTCGTGACGTTGACCCTGTTTTGTGTCTGGGAGTGAGGGAGTAGAGCTCAGAGTGTTGATGAACCTGCAACCTGTAACATGTAACCTGTGACCGTGTGCGAACAAAGGAGCTATTAAACACCAAGAACTTGAAGCCTATTTCCGACTCCCTTTGTCGAACGTTACAGTACTTATTTTATTGATCTACAAGCCCTAATATCAAAATAAATATATGTGGAAATATTCAATCTTAACAAAGCACCAAGCAATTCAGTCATACTTAATTCCTATACTGTGTGACAGAATATCATGAACAAATGTGCCAAAGTCCCTCAGGCCTTTTGTTCCTCAGCTTTCTCCTCAACCTGAGCCTCTGTTGCTGCTGTCGGTTCGCTCTCAGGTTGTTCTGGACAGGACTCCTTGGTTGGATCCATCACAACAGGTGTAGGCAGCCCATAACAGTTCAGCTGATGCCTGAACTCCTCCAACTCCTTCTGCTCCACCTCCCTCCTCCTGCTCAGCAGATACATGTCCATAGATCTCCTCTTACTTGACTGCACAATCCACCGCATAACGACACAGTCTGGACAGGAAGTATAGAGGAAGTCCCCGGTGAGGTTGAAGCGATTCCCCACATTGAAGGTGAAGGCACTGCCCTCAACGGTGATGTTGTAGCGTAGGTACTGGCATTGATCACCAAAGCGGTTGATTTGCGTGTAAGAGAAATCGGGAGCTTCACCTGAGTTGGAGAAGAACATAGTGATGCTGTCTCTCAGCTTCAGGGCCTCCATGGATGGTGCGTGGTTGAGACTTCCTGCTACTAGAGCCCATCCTCCCTCAAAATGATGAGGATCCAGCTGACCCAAAGGATGGACCAGTCGTTCACAGACCATAGGAGCTGATTGGCTCACGGACAGCAAGCAGAGGAGAACACTGGCCAACAAAGCAAACATGTTGCAATTATACAGATTCTGCGATGATTTAGAGAACTCTGCTTTCAATCAGTGGCTCTGTTGTTAGCTCTCACCAAGAATGGAGCTGGTTTAGATGGGCTCTCCATTTTTATAGTTCAACTTGGATCAAGAATGTCCAGTATTGCAACACAGTACAAGTGAATGATCCTGACTGTGTATTTCTGTATTGTGCAATTATAGAAAGTTCAAAAACTAGTTGTACTGTTTTTTGGTTCTCTCTCACTTCATGTGTTTACCGGAAATAACACATTGTTTGATGTAGAAAAGAGATCACCAGTCTCCAATATCGTATGTTTATTAAAGTAATTATACAGTCAAGGACAACATTAAGTATTTTCTGTTCTTGCCTACAGTAGGTAGAAAAAAATATGGGATGAGCTGAGATAAAGCCTTATTATTTATATGTTATTTTATAGAGGCTTTGTCACTGGCGTATTATAAATTACATTGATTAGTAGGGATGTGTAGTGAATGACACTGAAAAAAAGAGATAAGACTCCTCCAGTGTTCAACCCTGGCTCTTAAGAAGTACACACAATATGACATGTGAATATGTAAATGTAGTAGTCAATTTCTACATTAACTTTAAAACTATTGTTCGAAAGACTAGTTCCAGTAACTCAGAGAAAATACATCATGTTTCCTGTGTTATATGCCATTCTTGTTGTTTCACTTAACGGAAATAATTCATTCATTCTGTACAATGCACTGTATGTAAGGGACGCAAGAGATCTATGGGCTTACATTACATTTGTCCACTTATGTGAGAGATAAAGTGTACAAATATATCAGTGTTATTGCATTATTTATAACGTTTGGGTATCACTGTATCCATGTATGTTTACAGGAAATGCTTTCAGATCAATAGCAGTTAATTGTACTTACTTATATAACGTCTGACAGAGTGCATGTACTGTTGATGTGCTGAACTTTGTTTTCAGTTGGACATAATTTGTAACTAGATTAAAGAGTAAGCGTCCATTGATTTACCAAAGGTTAATTGGAGGCGTCTTTGTGTGATGTAATGATGAGTTTGCATCTTGTGCAATAATCCAAGTTAGTGGAACATCACCTAAACAACCAATCTTTTAAAGAAGTGTGAGCTGTTTTTAGAATAAATAGCACATGGATGTAACGTTTTAAGCTTTAGAGAAAGACAGATTTTGTTACCTTTGGACAGAATCAGGCAAGCTGTTCACTGTCATTGTGCCATGCTAAGCTAACCAGCTACTGGCTGTAGAAAACTAAGAGGGTTTTCACACTCAAAAGGAAAGTATTGCATAATGTCAAAAGTGCCCAAATGCAAAAATCCAACATTCCTGTCATGAAAAATGTATTGATTTTCAGTTAAAAGAACATTCCTGAAGTGCTAATATAATTCACTTAAACAAAATGTCTCTCAGGCCTTTTGTCCCTGCTTGATAACTTGTGTTTTGTTTCAGACAAAGTTCCTTGTTAGGATCTGTTAGGTTTTGATAGGAGGAGGCAGGGCATTTCAGGTTGTTGATCTTTATGAGGAGACAGACATACTTGTTGTCTCCTACATATCTAATTTCTATGAGGCGTGAAGGAAGTCCAGAAGACGTCACAGATGACCCATCGCAGATGACCCGACGCTTTTCCGACACCCGCGGCTGATATTAGCGCCACCTCGATTTACGACTTTGTCGTTATCTCCTGTATTTTGGACTATATAAGCCTGATGTTTTTTCCTGCTCCATTGAGCAACATACCCCATGTGTATGAGTTAAACCATATCCTTTGTATGTGATTTAACTCTGCTCCTTCTTGCAAGAATAAATTAGTAGGCCTACCTGATTTCTTTTTTTTTTCTTTTTTTTCTTGATTTTCTTTTTGATTTTCTTAATCTGTGTGAATCTTTGCTGTCCTGTTTTTTCACGCTTACCCTGTTGCTGCTTTGTACAACTGAATTTCCCCACGGGGATTAATAAAGGTCCATCTTATCTTATTTTATCTTATCTTATTGATTCTCAACCTGGTGTCGAGTGATATTCTCTCATGAATTAATGAAGTGCAATTTCTACAGCTGGAATATGACTTTATAAATATGCAAACCATTCAACCACAAAGGCTGATAAGAGAGGCATTGTTCTAATCTTATCATTGGAGGTGTGTAAAACTTCTCAGATCAATGACTGAGGCTCATTCTTATATTTCAAAAATATATTTCAAAATGTGATACTGAGGTGGGAAAGATTCTTCTTAATTAAAAAACAATCAAGGGTCGAGTTGGTTTTATAGTACAACTTGCAAGAGACTACAGTTTTGCAGAAACACGTAGTTATTCATTATCTAGCTGTAATCCCCGTTATTGTGTAATGAAAGAAAGTTCGATTTTTTTCGGGAAAATATCAATGTTTGCATTTGAATAACTCCATTAACCTCTGAATGTGCAATATCCTCTTGCCTATGTGTTAGAGAAATACAGTAGAGACAGAGCATACATAAGTATTGTGTTATTTCCTTTATGAGCGGGATTAGGGCTACAACTAACAATTATTAACATTATAGATTCTCTTTTTAACTAAGAACACAGCCTCTTCAGGAATCAAACACAATACAATATGCAAGTTTCTAAACATTTAGGAAGTTCCAGGATCAATTTTATTTGAATTGTGAATGCATTCAATAATGAATAAAGTGCAATTCTACAGCTGGATGTGTGTATGATTTATTTTTTTATAAATATGCAAACCATTCAATCACCAAGGCTGATAATAGAGGCCTTGTCCTAATCTAATACTGGGAGGTTTGTGCAACTCAGATCAATAACTGAGCCTCATTGTCACATTTGAAAATACATTTAAAAATGTGATTATGAGGTGGGGAAAATATACTTCTCAATTAAAAAACACAACCAAATGACATTGAAATATTTTTGTTTTATTGACACGTTATTGACCCAATATCGTCAACGATCATGAGGCAAAGTATCTCAGGCTGTTGTTTCCCATCAGTCTTCAGAAGCTGCTGAATGACGATCGCTCTGCTCTGGACAAAGCTCTTTGGTAGGATCCATCATAACAGGTGGAAGCAACTTCAGACACTCCACCTGAGCTCTGAACTCCTCCACCTTCTCCTGCTCCACCTCTCTCCTCCTGCTGAACAGGTACAAACGCAGGGTTTTCTGCGACTCGTTGTCAAAGCGCATCACCAGACAGTCTGGACAGGAAGTGTGGAGGAACCTCACAGTGTGGTTGCTCTGATCGTAGGTGAAGCTGCTTTCTCCTAGTGTGATGTTGGAGTGCATATATTGACAGCTGTCACCAAAACCAAAGATACGAGTCAAGGACATCTTGGAGCTTTCGCTGGCATTGGCAAAGTTAAGGCTGGCACTGTCTCTGCTTTTGAAGCTCTCGACATGTAATAGGTCGCACATACCGCCGATAACTAAAACCCGTCTTCCCTCCAAATGACGAGCATCCAGCTGATCCAAAGGCCGGAGCAAGTCTTCACAACCCAGAGGAGCTGCATGGCTCACAGACATCAGACACAGGAGAGTGATGACATTCACAGCAAACATGGCTTTATGTTATGAAATACTGTCTGCTGTCTTTTGTTTTGTCCGCAAGCAACACTGAATAACTGAGATTAGGATGGTGAAAAGGCCTGGCTGATTTTATAGTGAGACCTCCAGTTTCATAATACTGCCAATGCCAAAGAGCAGAGTCCTCTTTTCCTCTGGTTGTGAAATGAGGGAATATTTTGAGTGCTGGGACTATTAAATATTTACACTGGTTGAATCACTTTTACTGAAACTGTGGTGTTTTCGTTGTATCACTTTTGGAGTCGAATTGATTGGCAATTGTGCAAGTTCTAAAAAAATGTATTCAGATTTTCCAAATGTTGTGTTGTCATGTACTAAAATAATTCTATAAAATGCAATTCCACATTATTTCACAGACAGTACTTTAATGTTGTGGTCTTGGAATGAAATTATTTATTTTCTCATGGTATTTTAGTAATTAATAAAAACCCAGACACACATCCAGCACCAGACACTTTAACTACGCTGCTATGGACAATCATTTTCACTACTGTACATATTTTATTATTATATTATTATTTTGTCATATATTCATTATCATCCATTTATTAGTGACTCTTATTAATTGTATATATTGTCTGTTGTGCCTTTATATATTTTTTTATTTTTATTGATGCTTCTTAATGTGGGTATTAGTATACATATATGTGTCTTTGTTTAATTATGTATGTATATAAGTGGGTGTACAGGAGTGCATGTATTTATCTACATATTCTTTAGATATTTTAATTTGTATTCGTTCGAATCGTGAGAAACAGCCCTTCAATCTTCCTGTATTTTACAAATATGGTAATTTACAATAAAGGTGACTTTAAGTCACCAATTGATTGTAAACTTTGCATATCTGGGGGTCAACATGTATTATCAAGGTTGCGAAAGTATTGAGCTAACTTTGCATGTAAGAATATAATCATAAACTGTGCCTAAATATTTAAAAGATATGTATATTTACTTTACTATATTGTCTCTCTGCCAGTTTGAGTTGTTGTGTTTGGTTATCTATCTATACGAAATTTTCTTGAGTGTTTGCATTAGAAATCAGATCAAGATTCCACAACCTTGTCCTTTGCCCACTGTCATTAAAAGAGACAAGGACAACATGGAGTATTTTCTGCTCTTCCCTGTGTGGAAGAAAAATGTGTGATGAGCTGAGAAGAGAAGCCTTTGGAATGAGCTTTATTAAAGATATCTGCAAGACATGGTTAAGAAAACGTATTTTAAAAAGTAGACTAGTATGAATGTGTAGATACTTGAATGGTACAGTATGTGGTGAATATGACAGAGACAAATAAATAAGAGTCCTCCAATCTGCAACACTGATCCTAATAATTAGATTTTACATCTTAATATGTAAATGTACTGACCTGTTTCTATATTTATTTTTCAAACCTTAGTCAAGAGACTGATTCCAGTTACTTCGAGGAAATGTTTGGTTTTATTTGTCAGACATGACAACACAAAGATTGTTATTTCAGGATTGATGCAC